ATCATTTAGCCTCACTTGAGATTGGAACGTGTGGGTTATATCTTCAACTGCTTCCATCGCCGCATGTTTAGTTGAGGTAGCACTAATGCTACTACATTCACCTTGTGCTTGACCTTCTTCATACCAATCCCAAAATCCACATTTTTCACTGCAATACTTGAATAATCTACCTTTATTACAAGTCTCCTTCTCCACTTCAAAGCATTTCTGATATCCATGCTTACACAACGGACATCGCACTTTTATCGAGCATTCAGCAAAGAAGTGTCCCCTGCCTCTGCAACTATGGCATACACCTGAATTCTTCCATGGCATTCTAGTATGCAAATCAACCACATACAATCAATCGGTTTTCATGTTCACAAACTAACTACTGTGAAATGGGGAATCTTAATTACATAAATAATGTATAAATTACAAATCATATACTACTGTGAAATTGGAATTGGGCCAACCTTCTTCAAAGTCATAAACAAGTAGATGCAGGACCGCACAATGACATATTTCATTTTCCAGAAGAACCACGAAAATGAGAACATGAACATGAAGTTAAACTACTACCTAACTGGGATTAGATGATGGTGGTTGTATTGTTTGGGTCACCAAGCTCATTTAGCGGCAGAGGCAGTTGAGGGAAGTGTCGGCCTGTTCGATGCTTTTCAAAGAATGGGCAAGTGTTTGGGGATTGCAAATGCCTGCAGCCTGTGACGAAGGAGGCCTGATTTACCTTTATCTTTATGAACTACGATGGTGGAGAAATCGGCTTAATCGACGATTTTCAACATCGGCTTTGAAGATGCACTCGGAGACGTACTCATTTGAGGAAACACAACCTGATGAGGATGGCTGTTCGGGGGCTGCCAGAGGTGGAGATTAATGTACTGGTGTTCGGTTGGGGTTCTAAAGTGAAGAGAGGATTTTGGAGAGGTAGGTTTTGAAATTGGGGATTGTTGGGGTCTTGGGGAGAAGGACGAAAGAAAGAGTGAAAAATTCCTTATTTATTTTTCGTTTTTTTATTCCCTGTAAAACACTTGTAGGAGTCACCCGATACGCCTAGCGCGATCCTTATCCAAATAATAATTGTCAAAGCCAAGATATGATATCCCTAGATCATGTTTTGTACAGGAATAAAGATGGATGGCCATGCTCACATAGACCCCCAATCAACAGGGGGCACCACCTACATGTCCAGGGCCCATGAAGCACGGCATTCTAACAATCTTTAACAAGCAGACAAGTAGCAATAATTCTACTAAAAACTAGTTATCAAGACTGCAACAAGGTTGAACAAAATATTGTAATTACTTAATGAAATTGCAGCAAAAAATAAATAAATAATAAAAGATTGCCTTAATGGGAGCGAATCTAGGAATCGAGAACTGAAATTTCATTTTTTTCATTTGTACAAAAATGGTTTTATAGAAACAATACAGAGTACTCACATAGGATAGATCCCATGTGAATAAAATAGTGCAAAAAAAAAAAAAAAAAAAAAAAAACTATCCCTCTCATCTGCTTGTGTGTTCTGGAGGAGTTCTATCCTTTGTACACACAGTAGTTAGTAGAGCGCCTTTTACTTTATTGTTTAACTGCATACACAATCATAAATATTGGACAAGTATGAATAAGTTTCTTTAGAGAAAGAATTTTAAGCCCAGCAAAACAAGTTTCAAATTCCATAGGAAAATGATGCAATTTCACCAATTATCTAATGTTTGTCTCGATGTCATCTCAATACAAAAATGATTAACCTACAAACCACGACCTTACAATTCAGAAAAAAAAAAGAAAAAAAAAGCAATTTCTCCAATTATCTATGGTTGTCCTCAATATAAATAATCTATCATTTAAAAATTGGTCATTTTTCCCCTTTTCCAATTTGCAAAATGACAAGCCTCTAAATGCATCAAATGGTATCCCAACACATAAATACAGTGGTGTCAAATAGTATCCTACCACACAAGTTAATCTTGAAATGAAATTATCAAATGATGCTCTCAAAGAATTTAGACTCCAATGATCTTTGCAATGGAATAAGAATGATATATCATGATTTGAAGAGCAATATTATCTGTGCAGAAATAATCATTGGACAACATGCTAAAAAACAAATTTTCTTTTGCACATCCCATTAACTCCAACAAATAATAAATGATATCCATTCAAATTTAAAATGTAACAATTTTCGATATGTAAGAATGATATATCATGATTTGAAGAGAAATATTATCTGTGCAGAAATAATCATTGGACAACATGCTAAAAAATAAATTTTCTTTTGCACATCCCATTAACTCCAACAAATAATAAATGATATCCATTCAAATTTAAAATGTAACAATTTTCGATATGTCTATGCTTTGCAATAGATATTAACAAAACTCAACGTATTCTTTCATGGACAGCTACATGTCGCACTTTCTTGCAGAATTTTAATACAAATAATATAGGTCTTGGTAAAAGTAAAAAAATAAAAAGAAGAAAAGTTATTGGTGTTGACGAAAAATATTGTATACAAAGAAGCGTTGTTATAATCAAAACATTACATTTTAATTTATTTAACATTTCCACATTACATATAAAATTTCATAAAAAAAAATTATTTATATATACTTCTTTTTAACAATTTTAACTTTTTCTTTTATAATATCTTTTACCTTAACTACTTTTAAAAATAGTATCAGTACTTCAATTAGTGCTATGTACATGCCATTAAAATTTTTCCAAGCTTTATATAAAATGGCATACAAGCATTTAAACATGTTAATATGTAAATAACATGTTAAGGCTATGAAACCAATGTAACATTATACATCGATCATGCTTGAACAAAATTTCAATTCAAGATTACTTTACAAAAAGAACTTTCCAAGATTTTTATGCTGTTGAATCACTTGCAATTTCCACTCCAAATCTGCGTTTTATCACTTCAATGATCCAAAACTCAATCATTATGGAAGGAATTCAATCGCTACATTGACAATTTTACAACCCACTTTTCAACAATTATGATTACCCAAAAGAAGACCGGAAAATGCTCAATCTATCAAGGGTGAACAAAAATTGCCAATCCTTCAATCCGAATTGAAATCGTGATTTAAAAATCGTTGGTTTGATTTCAAGAGATTTAGCCTTCTACCATTTTAAAAATAGAACCGAACCATTTGAAAAATGTTTGATTTATGTTTCAAATTATAAAAATCGCTAAAAATCAATTATTTTACTCAAAATATATTATTTTCTTAATTTAATTTATGCTTCAAAAATTCAGTAATTTGCTTACTAGAGAGTTCTATTAGCTTTTTAGGAAAATATAATTTATGACGATAGTTTCTTATCTATTTAAAAATAATGAATTTGAAGCTTAAGGTTGCAACTTAAATTGATATATTGGTTTAATCTTGTATCGAGACCACTTTAATTTTTATTTTATAATTTATGTTTAGAATGTTTCAACTAAAGTGTTATATCGAGATTTTATATCAAAATATTTATTTTTCACTTGGTTGAAAGATATTATTATTATATTGTTAAAATTGCGCTTTAAATTAGCCAAACTAAATCCAACTGTAGAAGTTGATTTGAAAAATGAAACGATTTGGTTTGAAACTTTTCAAAATACAATAAGATGATTTGATTTAAAAGCTTGAATTTATTTGAACGTAATACTAATTTTCTAAAATAATAAATAATAAACTTTAAAAGAATTTTCAACCTAAAATTTTATTTCATCATTAACTTTTTGATCAAAATGCTTTTTTTCTGTAGTGGAATTGATTTTCAATTGATGGATTTCGGGTTCAATTTCAACTTATCAACTCCAACACACTCAACTAATGGCTCCAATCCACAACTATGTTTTACTTCGGTTGCTCAACTTAATGTATTCAAAAAGAATAAAAAAGGTTGGCTGCAATATGTAACCAAGAATAGAGGAAAATAGGTTTCGGTTTTCAAACTTGAAGAGAGAAAGCACAAAGGGTCGGCTGCCTCTTTTCTCACAATTGCGAGCACACACTCAGCTTCTTTAACAACGAGGCCATATATAGATCTAGGGTGTAATTTAAGTGGGCTACAATAGTGGGTTCATGGACCAACAAATGGTAAAGAGCCCGAAACATAAAAGAGAGCCATCAAAGAAGTAATTGGGTCGTGAGCAACATTAACTAAATTAAGTTATTTCCAATGACTTCCAAGTTATTCATCGACCGAGGCCTATAAAATATAATCCAAACCGTTTAACATCATCGCTCGAAATTTATTGGGCATCAAAACCCAACATTTTTCTGTATATAATATACATGAAATGTAACTTCAACTTCTACACGAATAGCAATTTCTTTAGGAGTAATCTTGTTAAATTCAAATTCAATTTCTCTATGGGCAAGTTTAATTATAACATGAAATTTGTATGAAAAGAAAATAAATTCTACATAATTTAATTGCCTAGAACTTATATTTTATATGAAAATTATTAATTAAATATGTTTGATTGATTTTGATTAATTTAGTTTTCAATTTAGAAAATATTATATTTGTTTATTTTTTATTGGTGGGTAGATGAGAGAAAATAGATAGATAAAAGAGAGAATGAGTGAGTGAATTACCTAAAAAATAAAAATCACTCATCTCTAAAGAAAATGTGATCACATGACCAAAAGTAGGAAAATATTTTTCATGAAAAAATTGTCAATCAAAATAGTAATACTTTTCTTTTGAGAGATTTTCTTTTTTTATTTATAATTAACATAGAATATTTTTTTTGACTCCTCACCAAAGTGGGATCTTAAGCGATCGCCTATCCAACCTATAATCAGGGTTAGCACTGCCCACAAGTGATATATCTCATAGCATCACACTTCATTGAGATACTTTATATATTATGGTGTCAAATAATTTTAAAGCAAAATTTTCACCTTGTGCACTAGCCTTAATTGGCATCCTCAGCAAACAGATGTGGTATATCTTACCAAAGTATTTTCTTCAAACACATAGCACCTACAACATTACTTAATATTATGGAAGCTTCTTAGATGGTTTACAATAAGCATATTTCTTCAATATCAGAATCCCAATCAGTTGTACCGACGTCAAGTTTCATTTTAGCTGTAACATCATCTAAAATTGCAAATATTAGCTCTGACCTAGGATGAGATTTATCATCTACAATGAATTTATGAATTTTGCCTCCTTCCTCAATCAAGCTATACCCAGCTGCTTTTGTGATATTCGAGCCTTTCATAAGCTTCCTTAACTTTGCAACTCCATCCCACTTTCCTGCTCTTGCATATATATTGGAAAGAATCACGTAATTACCAGGATTCCATGGCTCCAACTTAAAGAGAGACTCGGCAGCTTTCTCAGCCAGCTCGACATTGCCATGAAAACTGCATGCCCCAAGCAGAGTTCCCCAAACAATGGAATCAGGTTTCATTGGCATAGTCTGTATAAGGTCATAAGCTTCTTGTAGTTCTCCTGCACGACCTAGAAGATCAACCATGCATCCATAATGTTCTAGCTTTGGATGAATGGAGAACTTGTTCTTCATTAAACTGAAGAGTTCTCGGCCCTTCACAACCATGCCTCCATGTGTGCATGCTAAGATTGTCCCTACAAATGTGACATCATCCGGTGTCATTCCTTTTCCCTGCATTGTGAACGACATCACACATAGCATGTTAATTTCAACAATAAAATTTATATTTGCAACTAATTTTTTTGCACCTTACTAGTGATATACTCGAATAAAAGACCTAAAATTATATGAGTTGAGCATAATTAAAACGCTTACCAGCATTTGGTTAAATAATGCAAGAGCTTTATCACATTTTCCATGGACAGCTAAACCCATGATCATAGTATTCCAAGAACACAAATTTCTATGTTTAGCGATGTCATCGAAAACTTGCAATGCTCTGTCAATTCTACCACATCTTGTGTACAATTCCAGCACTGCATTGCAGACAAACATACTCTTGAAATAACCGTTTGCTCGTGCATAAGCTTCAATCCTCTGTCCAACCTCTAATGCCCCAAGATTTGCACAAGCTGGAAGAACACTAGCAATAGTCACTTCATTAGGCCTCACTATTCCCCCCTTCTCCATTTCCAAGTAAATTTCCAAAGCCTCCTGATATTTTCCATTCTGCGAGTACCCTGATATCATTGCAGTCCAAGAAATCACATTCCTCGATGGCATATCCGAGAACAAACGTGAAGCTTCGTCCAAAAACCCACACCTCATGTACCCAGCAATTAAAGAATTCCAACTCGGAACGTCCTTAACACTCATCTCATCAAACTGTTTTTGAGCAAAATGCACCAAACCCATTTTAGCATACATGTCAACTAGTGCAGTTAGCGCATAAACATCACTCTGCAGACCGAATTGAATGAAATGAGCATGAAGAATTTGGCCTTGGAAGTTGAAAGAAAGGTTGGCACAGGCAGCAAAAAGGAAGGTAAAAGAATGTGCATTAGGAGAGTACCCTTGGTGCAGCAGCTGGGAATAGAGATAAAAGCAATGAAAATGAGGCCCATAACAAGAGTAGGCTTGGATGAGCTTGTTGTAGAGAAAAAGAGTTGGTTTAGGCATATTATCAAACAATTTGTGAGCATAGTGTATGTTTGGGATTTCCAATAGTTTGGTAATTAAATACTTCGTAAAATCTGTACCGTTCCTAAGTGTGTGCGCGTGTATTTGCTTCAATTGGTTCATAATTACTCATTTAAACATCCTAGCCGACCAAAACATTGGGTGTGAGTCACCCTGATGAAATTATGTGGAGTTGAGCAAACTGGCTTATTCTTAAGGTTCTGCGCCTAGACGGCGTCATCACGATTACAGCCGGGCACAGCCTGAGGCATTGTACATGCCTGAACTGGATAAGGCCCTTCACGTGCCAGTCCACCCCTAGCGTACAAGGTCTTCCACCATGTCTTACAGATTTGATGGTAAAAGAAGCACCTCCTTTTTTGTCGAAACCACTCCAAATCTTCTTTCTTCAACAACTGCAATCCACTGATAAAAATGGATAACCATATATCCGAAGTCCCAGATACAGTGAAGAAATTTTCTTCAATAATTGGCCCTCTTTCCCTCTTTCCCACTCTCAAATATGATTTGCAAGGTATCAAAGATTCAAAATTCAAACCACATTTACCACCAAAACGCATAGGACAATATATTAGAAATAAAGCTTACAGGATCCAATGGGTGAATTTTTCTAAATGGCCTATCACTGTTAAGTCTTGCCAAAATGTTTATAATATTCTTAATGAAATGGTTTGTCATGTTTTGCACAAAATATCATAATTTATTGTGATAGCTCTAAAATTTTTCTATTTCTCTTATTTCGAATTTTAATATATAGTTCCATCTTTTAATCTAATAAATTAGTATAATCTATAATATAATTGTCATATAATTCTTTAAAATTATCATATTTCTTTGATGATATATCCATAGTCTCTAGTTGAGAAAAAATATTTTTTATTTTTTCTAATAGTCTTTCTAACAGATTATCTAATCCTTTAATTGTATAGCCTGGCATCATTTAGATAATTCTTTACAAACTTTATGAATAATAATAACATGATAGATAAGTTTTTGCAAACATGATAAATAATAATCCCTATGATTCTTTCAAAATATTAGAAGAATTCTTTCTAAATTTAACAAAGACAATAATTTTACCTTAGTTTTGATCTTAAATCTGTATTCTTAGAACCAAGTGACCTTCAGGCTCTGAATCTGCAAACTGCTCCCTCAAATGGTCTTTTGCTTTAATGGGAATTCTGCTATTTCAGCTTCTTGCCCTCACTGTATCTTTTCTTAGAATTAAGAATAAGGATCTTAAGTAAAGAAAATTCTCTTTTTGTTAAAGTAAGAAAGAGATTATCTTCTTCAATCTGTCAAGAATTTATGGGATAGGAAGTTTAGAAACTCATATTTTTCTGATATCAAAAGATTGGAATTTTATTTCTATAATGATTTATACAATATTTCTATTGTATACAAGGGGTTTCCAGAAAAACTGGTTTTAAAGAAAGCTTTAAGGAAAGAGAATGGTTTCTAACCCGAGATGACCCATTCTTTTCCCAAAGACCTCTATTTATACATGACTCAAACTTACTATTATTGGTCTATTACATCATTGCATACATCAAAATTTAAAAAAGGCTCACATGCCTCTTTATTCTTTTCCTCCTGGGGTTTACATTTTCACATGCATTTTTTGCTTTTTCATCAAAGAGGCATCTTCTCTTCTATTATTGTCTCTCCATCTTTGGCTCCATATGCAACTGTTTAGATGCTTTGGTAGTGGTAGGTCCCCTTTTATTTTCTATTCATCTTTTATCTTGAAGAATCAATCTTTTTAATCTTGTCTGCATGTGGGGCACTCCCTCAATTTGCATGATTCTTGGATTGTTGTAGGACTTCCATTAATTTGATGAGTATCAAATTTCTGGATATATTCTTTCAAAATAGTGGATTTTTCTTTTCCATTATTCGTAAGGAGTGTCCATCCTTCATATTGACACAAACATCTGAAATTTTTTATCATATAAGTTCTTTGTAATGTTGTAAAGAACTTTCATCCTCAAAACTTTTCGGGATTTTATCCATGATTTATTGATTTTAGGCAATGGTTTATTATTTCGACCAACTTCAATCTGAAAATCTCGGCCAACATATCCAATTGTGATAATATGTTCAGCAGGATAGTATATTATTCCATCAACCTCGGGACTTATTGAATAAAATTTGATATAGATCGATCTCCCTTGGGTAAATTTTGAAACTTCTGCCCTGAATATATCATCAAAATTTTCAATTTCTTTTAAATCTTTTCCTAGATAGATCAAATCCAGAAATTGCTGCCATTTTGACCATGAAAGGTCTGCATCTTTGGTAATTATTAATCTGGGATAAACATGATCTCCTGATGCAATAAAATATGATTCATTTTCTTCCAATTCATAAACAATTTTGGCAAATGATCTATATTCTTCTTCTTTTGATGATAAAGGGGTATCATCATCTTCATCAGTTTTGATTCTGATAACTCTTGTATGTTCATCACCATTTTTTATAGTCACCTTCCATGGACTTGCTATGTCTAGTTTGATATTGATGGGTCCACTGCTGCTTCCTGGTTGTGTACCTGTTTGTATTTTTGAGATTGTATCAATTGGTATTTCCTGTTTCGTATTTAATAACTCGAATTGTGAAGTAATATCAACAATTCGGTCATTCAATTCTTTGGTATATTTGGAATGAGAATTAGAGATTTTCACCAACAATTTGACATTTTGTTGGATAGATTCTGCCATTTGCTCTAATTACTCAATTCCAATTTTCATATCTTCTAATTCTTCCATGAGGAATTTCATTCGTCTGTTGACATCTATTAATGAATTTTTGATATTATCCATCTCCAAATTTGATATTCCTCCTCAAAAAATCTGCAAGTAGTTATTTATTCCTTTAATATTAATAATATCAAAATTGTAGAATGATAAATATGCTTGCCATTTGTATAACCTTCTATATTGAGATTCCATAGGTAACTTATTTCTAATAAGTCCTGCAAATAAACTTTTTAGATAAAAGGAATAATGAAAACTTTTTTATTCCTCTAATAATTGCTAACAATTCTTTTTCATGAGTAGTATAATTTATTTCTACTTGGTTAAAAGTTCCACTTGAATATCTGCACATTTCATTTAAATCTCTTTTTAATATAGCTGCCCAATATTTATCCGAGGTTCAGTATTAACAATTAGATTATCTTTTTCATCTGGTAATCTTAATTTTGGTAAATTTTTACATTCTTCTTTTAATGATTTAACAATTTCAGTATGTTTTTTGGTCCAACTTTTAGTATTTGTTTTCCTAAGTAGAATTTGTATCTTATATCTCTTTTTTGAGGGATTTTCAATAAATCCTTTAACATAGTTTAAACATCCTAAAAATTTTTGTATTTGTTCTTTGGATTTTAATTCATTTGGAAAGCTTTCTATTTTTCTAGATATATGAGTCTGTAATTTTATTCCTTTTCTATCTATTGATAATCCCATAAAATCTTTTTCTTGTTTCTCGATTATAGATTTCTTTTTAGAAAGTACAATTCCTTCCTTTTTGCATTCATTTATGAATTGTAATAAATGATTCCTATGTTCTTTTTTATTATTAAAGCATATTAGTATATCATCTTTATAAACAATAAGAAAATCACTAAACTTTTTGAATATATTATCCATTTTCCTTTGAAATATTTGTAGTGCATTTTTTAAACCAAATGGCATAACTAACCATTCATATTTTCCTTGAGGTGTACTAAAAGCTGTATATTGTATACTATCTTCTTCCATTTTTATTTGCCAAAATCCTGATTTACAGTCAAATTTGGAATAATATTGTTTTCCTTTTACAAGATTTATTAGGACTTCTTTATTTGGTAAAAAGTAACCATCAAATTTAGTATATTTATTTAAATCCTTATAGTTTATTACCATTCTAGTTTTTCCTCTAATTTGCTCAGAATGTTTCATAACTATAAAAGCTGAACTACTATGAGGTCTATTACTGGCTCTAATTAACTTTTGTTCTAATAGTACTTTTATTTGAATTTTAAATTCTTGCATATCCTGTAAGGTATACATCATTGGTCTAACTCTTATTATAATATTTTTTGTTAATTCTATTTTAGCTTTATGATGATATGGTTTCCAAAATAATAATGAGTTTTCTCCATAAATTTTTTCTAATTGTTCTATGATTTTTTCCATATTTATCTCTATTTTTGTTTTTAGGATCTTTTTATATGATAGTTTTTTATTTTTTAGTTCATCTTGTACTATTGGTCGTTTTTCCCATTTATCACCACGTTGTACTGGCTGAACTCTATAGGGTCTAAATTCTCTTGGTATTTTTAATAGATGTGCACAGGGTATTTGTAACATTATCATATAATTATTTTGTTTATAATATTGAAATTGTTGGATAAAGTCATTTCCTAATAATATATCACATTCTAGGTTATTATAATTATATACTTTATTTATTATAACTTGTTTACTACCAAGTATTATATTAACTTTTTCAGCACTATCAATTATTTGAGTGCTTTCTCCAGTCACTCCTGTTATTTTTATTTTACTATTTTTATTCTATGATTTTATTAAGAAATTTTTAAAAATTGTTATATCACTTCCTGTATCAATTAAGACACAAGTTGTTATGTTTGTTTCTGCTATAGTAACTTGTATATATACTGCCAATGGAAAACTTATTTGATTATTCATCAACTTCCTATTTTACATAATGTAGTTTGTCTTTTATGAATTATATATAATCATTCTCTTTTTATACTATAATCTTCTAATCTATTTAAGAAACTCATTCCTAATAATATATGAGGTTTAATATCCATACTTTCATCCAAATAATATGGTACTAAAAGATCAATCCCACCTATTTTTATTGGTACCTTTACCTTTAATTATATAATATATAGTTGTCCATCAAAATTTCTGTATTCATATGGTTTTATCTTGTAAGTCATTAATCCTTCATTTTTATTTGTAGCCATATGACATTCACCAGCTCCTGTATCTATCAATATATTTGATCCTTTTATATACCTTCTACCGTTGAAATATTTTCTTTATATTTTCATATTTCCATGTGGTTTTATTTCTTTTATACCACTAGTTTTTCCCAAATATTCTTTTTTATTAGGTAGTTTAAGACTTTTTGTTTTCTTTATCAACCTTCCATTATGAAATGTTATTTTATAATCTTCTTCTTTTCTTAACTCTGTTATTTCA